TAACATGGACGGTACATGTGAGCAATGACGAAGTTTTAGAGAAAATGGAAACCTAAAAAGGCATCTTACATTTTAACATCAGGAAGAGACAGTTCAAAATTCTACATAAAGAGGAAAGAGAGTTTGGAAAATGTTATACTCACAGAATAGTATGAACGCAAGAGGGACAGAGGAAAGCAAATAATCTGATTCGAATCAAAAAGAGACAGTTGTTATTTCTGGGGCACGGAGAAGATGTAAATAGCTATAGAAATATGAAAAGAAATACGCTATTCAGATGCTCTTTCGAATCAAAGACATTGAATATTTTTCTGTTATAATATGTCAGTCAAGTAGTGGATGGAACGAGTGCATAGATACTGAAATTTTAATATGTTTTTTCCTGTATATATCAGTAAAAACAATATGAATATTCTGAATAATCAAGAGTGATCTCCCCTTGTTTTGTTACTCTACTCTTTAAAAGAGCTATCTCTGTTTACTGGGACTATAAAAGGACACTATACGCGAACCTTGTATTCTCAGTTGAATAAAGTTTTCTTAAAGCCTATACCTGCATTCTGTTGTCATTAAAATGAATAAACACAAAAGGAAAACAATTCAAGGGATATCTTGATTAAATTCCCCAGGGAACGAAACGCGTTGGTAAAGTTTTCTTTTTGTCTTTATCCAATTTGTAACTTGCTATTTATCTAGAGCTCCATACAATCCAAAGAAGAATCAGCAATATTATTGGACCTCATCTGGCGTCTCGGCTACAGTCACTCTCCCACCGTTGTAAGGTTATCTCTCTGTGCCTATTCTATAAATACTTCCATGGTAATTGTTCGGATGATCTTTCCGCTATGGTACCTAGACTCTCGTGATCGTGATATATATATATATATATATATATATATATATATATATATATATATTAAAAGACGTTCTTTTATAGATACAAGTATTTAAGTAAATGTTCTATAATAAACAGTATTAAATAACATTTACCGGCCTGAATGTCCGAGAAATTTTCATAGAAAATATTCGTCCTTCGAACCTGTATCCTATACGGAACCGTCATTAACGCTAACGTGCCTTGACCGCTCGGCCACAAAGGATCGTTCAGTGGGCATGGTCGAATTTACTGCTTATAAACTTCAATCTTCCATGAAACTCGTACATTCATAACGGCTCATGGCGTATCAAATGCAAAGAAATGACGTCATATATTAAGAAATGGACAAAGTCCGACAATTTATTTATTAAAGACATTTTTTTTTATGTTTAACGTTACAAGTATTTAAGTAAATGCTCTGTTTATAATAAATAAATTGTCGGACTTTGTCCATTTCTTAATATATATATATATATATATATATATATATATATACTTTTTGTCTTTCTTGTTAAAGATATGCGACTGAATAGGATTGATTATTGATAGCGATGTTAATCTCATGAATATGTTGATTATATTTGTCGTAAATATAGAAAAGATATTCCAAAATGAAATAAAAATACGTGTTATATTTATTGGTCTAATTATTAGAAATTCACATATATGATTACCACCCAAAAATATCAAACGAAAGAGAACTTCAAATAGAACAAGAAACATATAAATATGTTCATTATATGCGTGAAATAAAGTTTGTTTAAACACCTCACAAAATATCTTTGCCCTCATATCTAAAAAGTAGCAAATTATGTTTACATGACTAGTTAAGTAGCTTTCTGAATACCACTGTCAATTAACTACAAAGAGTTTCAGGTTTTAGCAATATTTGTGCGAATTACAATCAGTTTTATTAGCTACTTTAAATAAAATAAAACCTATTTCTGCATATTTTAATCTTTGAAACCTATACATTCATATATACAGGATGCAATGGGTAAATTTATATTTTTACTTTCGCGCATGCGCGTTATTTATTTTATTTTGTCGACTGCACAGTATAGTTAGGCACCATCTGTCACGAAAAGAACGCCATGACACAATTCATTCCGCCAGAAATTTGGAAGCGGCATGCTGTACTGCTTGACATTCAGGTTGGATGCTTCAATACGAGACATCCAGAAGGTTTGGGTATCTATCTGAAGACAGTGCAGAAGATTTGGAAAGAGTTGGATGAGTCTAATGGGGATTAAGAAGGTGCTTGGAGTAATCACTAGCGATCAGGGCCTCAGACACAACATGGAGGCCTACATCAAGTGCCTTAAGGAAATAGTGCTCCCCTGGGTTAAGAGGGTGGCTGCTGGAAGACCCTATGTCTGGCAACAGGACTCTGCAACATGCCACACCAGCAGGAGTATTCAATCATGGCTATCAAACAATTTCTGCGACCAAGTCATCCGTTGCATGTGGCCATCTAGCTCCCCAGACAGCAAGACCCTTGATTATTATGTCTGGGGCGCATTTGAGCGAAAGACCAACAAAAAAACTTGTAACACAAAGATGAAACGAATACAGGGGATTCCGAAGTCATGTGGTTGAAGCAAATGGCAAATTTATTGAATAAGTCTACTCTTTAGCATTTTAAGATATTTTTCTGTAATTTTGGTAAATATATCTGTTAAAATGAGTTGTCAATGGTATTTTCATTTTTGCTTAATTTAGACGACAATTTATCCACCGCACCCAGTATGTATTAATGTATATTTGGGCATCAATCTTTCTTTTAAACATCTTTCGTTAAATAAAGTTTTAAAAGGTATTTCTAGCGTTCTTACGTTTTTTTTCGTTTAGTGAATATGAAGTCTTGACAATAACAGAGATTGAAGTTTGCCAAAAAGCGGTCGACTAGTGGTATTCTGGAGGATAAAGGTTTTACATCAAGCAGTAATCATGTTGATCGATATTAAGATAAAGATTAATAGTAATTGAACTCTTTGAATTTTATCTATATATATATTGGGTTGGTGCAAAAATAATGACGTAATAATGTCATTTTTGACATTAAAAATACGTCAAAAACGACATTATTACGTCATTATTTTTGCACCAACCTAATATATATATATATATATATATATATATATATATATATATATATATATATATCATCGCAAGTTATTGTGATAGAGATTTTCAGTGTACTATCACAATTGATTGTACACTTTCTCCAGGAAGTTCCGTTTTACGTGATTGCAGTAAAAAAAAAGTATAGATAGCCTCCGTAGGTGTTGAACAAACACAAATATTTATAAGCAAGTATCAGCGACAGGTATTGAATACCCGTTATCCGGTTTAGCAGACAGATGTGCTCAGAAAACGAAAGTAACAGGCCTTTATATATATATATATATATATATATATATATATATATATATATATATATATATATATATATATATATATATACGCTTATATTGAATATGACAGACAACAGCATTATAAAAAATGCGCAATACCAGTAGACAATAGCAAAAAAAGAGGCTAATTATTTATTACAAAAATTTTAAAACTGCCAACCTTATAATTAAAAATAATAATTCACCTCTTAGATCAACATTACATAGAACAAATATTATTTTCGAATTTAAATGCCCATTAAAGAATTGTATTCCTGATCAATCAAAATTCATAAACAATTATATAGGCCATACCACAACATGTTTGACAAGAAGATTCACCCTACATATTTCTGACCATAGCTCAATTAGGTGTCATTTAAATACTCATGGAGACCTACAGGACCCTATTAGCAACATACTTATTGATAACACAAATATAATACCCTCGTGTACATGTAAAAAATGCTTGAAAATAATGGAAGCATTATTAAAAGAAACAAAAAATAACACTCAATAATATATTATGGACATGGATACAATATCTTGATCGTGTTTTGAAAATGAAAACATTATATCAATACATACATACAACAATCTATTTCTTGTTCATAGTTAATATATTTCAACCTTGAAAATGGCTAAATGTATAGCTGAAAGCGCTCGGAAAAAAATGAACAATTAGACAGTTTTTATATAACTTATCTACCGAAAAGAAGAACATTATAAAATCACATAAAAATTTGTAAAAAACAAAAATTAAATCAAAGCACCTTGTCTGTCATATTCAATGAAACTTGCATGACAGATGAATTTCTGCCTAAATACACACACAAACACACGTGTGTGTGTGTGTATGCGAACTGGTTACAGAAACTTCATAAAGTTAGCATAAAATAGCTGAATGTGTTGTATTTTCTTTGCACTAATAATCTCGGAAAAAGCAATAATGTATATCTCCGCTCCGTCTTATCTGTGCTTTAAATAGCAGGGCTTTCTGATCTGAATTCAAAACCGTGGTAAAAGCAACGAGAAATTACCCTACTAACTTTCCGAAACGGTCACGGTAATATACGTGTGTTAAAGGAAGCTGTGGTTAGCCAAAATTACTCAGGTCGTAAAGAGACATAACTTTTTTATAAAAAGAAAATATTCCAATAAATAATATGGATTTTTCGGCAATGGTTCATATGTAGGAGTTAATGACGGGTGTTACATTTTCGCGTTTTGTTGGTGATTGGTCGTCTGGAATACTCATCTTGAACCGAGATTCGCCCGGCATCAAAACGTCACTATAAAAAGCCTGTACTTGACTTAAAGAATGTTCACCGAGACCTTAATGAAGCATTTCGAGTGCATCAGTAGCAGATTTGCAACATTTGAATCACGTATACTACTGAAATTCGTCGTACATCGCAAAATAGCAGTTGTTTCAACACGGCATTTACAAATCCTGTGTAATTATCCAACAGGAACAGAAGGTACAATACCTCTTGGAAGACTCTAAAGCCTGGGTACCAATGATTTTTAGGTGTGTACGCATTTCAGTGGACTGTTATGCCCATAGCAGATACAGACCGGGAACTTGCCGATGCTATCTCTAATATACACGAGTTACAGCTTCAAATGATAGCTAAATAGCTCGATAAGAATTTAAAATATAGCGATCATTAAATTAGGATGTTTAATTGCTGAAGTGTTCTTCTGATTACACGGATAAAAGGAGAATGGAGACAGTACTTCGCTCGAATTTCCTACCATTATACACTTCTTGGAGAGTTTCTTACGCTGACGAAAGATGTTTGGAAATATGCAAAACTATCTATCTATCTATCTATCTATCTATCTATCTATCTATCTATCTATCCCAATATCTTCATTTTTGTATCTATCTATCTATCTATCTATCTATCTATCTATCTATAGACACATATAATAAATGCGTAAATGTATGTATAATTTACTTATCAACTTATAGTTTTTAAGGATGTCAGAAATTAAAAAAAAATTAAAGTAACAAGTTCAGTGTGTTCTGACATCGTCACACATACACACACATACGTATATAATTGCGTCTGTGTTGCTGCCGTAAGATCTATCCTAATATATACATATATCTATATATATATCTATGTGTATAAACACATGCACACATCTATCTATCTATCTATCTATCTATCTATCTATCTATCTCTCTCTCTCTCTCTCTCTATATATATATATATATATATATATATATATATATATATGTGTGTATATAAAACATATATGTATATATATGTATACACACATACACACATCTCTCTCTTTCTCCCCTCTCTCTCTCTCTCTCTCTCTATATATATATATATATATATATATATATATATATATATATATATATATATATATATATACAAATCAGAATAGTATGTGTAGAGTGAATGAGAAATTTGAACAAACTGCCCCTGTTACGTTTTGCGTTATTCGAAATGACATCTTCAATATAGTAATGATTTTATGTGTGAAGTAAAAAACGCTAAGGTTATGTACAGTACAATTTTAAAAAATTATCATGTAGATACACGTGCAAACATCAAGGGATATAACTCAGTTATTGTAATATCTAAGTATTTTTAAAAAAGAAAAAACTATTTAAAACTATAAGTCAAAAACCTAGATATTTTAAACTATCTAGTGTCAACATTTTAAAATATTTTTCCAGTATTCATAATTAATTTTATTAATTGTTGATTTCAATTTTTTTTAAATATAGATAGCTTAAAGAATTTTTAGTTTATTATTTTCATGAAAAAATATAGATGTATCTTCAACAAGAATTTTCCTGAATTGTGAATGTGGACATGCATGATGTTGCGAATGTTGAGAGATGTTAGATGCATCATTAAAATGAAAACTCAAACTTCGAGACGACTTAATCGTGGTATGGCCAACATATATATTATTATTATTTTTTATGTTCCAAGGGACATTTAAATTTATATACAATGTTGGTTTTCTGCAACATCTTGGTTGGTGGGCGGGTGAGTCTTTACGAATGATTAAGTTGGATATACTGGATTTAGCATAGTATATAATTAATTTTATTTTTTACTAGGATCTGTGGTGGATATATTAATATTTATTAGTTTTTTTAGGATATTCTCGTCCTTTTTATAATTAGAATGTATTTAATTGCGATATAAAAGATTAATATGTTTAGGACTAATTGAAGAAGTATTATATTTTATTTGCTTTATATTAAATTTTCTAAGAGAACGTTATATTTGTTCGTCAACAATATAATTAGGGAAGTTATAATAATGATACTAAGAAACTTGTCCATACAGTGGCCTAAGAAAAGTTTTAGGCCAGGAGAAATAAACTACATACAATTTCGAAATTTAATTACGTAATCCCTACTCAACATAAACAAACAGTATTTGGAACTACTATAGAGTAAGTCCTCCATTTGCTTGTTTTAGCGCTTGTATTC